GAGGAGGGGGCTGGCGGCCCCGCAACGGCGCCCTGCGCGGGGCGGGGCGTAGCTTGCGGCTCTGTCCGGGTTACCTCTTCTCCGTTAAAAGTACTTGGAGGAATGGCAGTAGTCGGGTGTTCGTGACTTGTTATTTCACGTCTGTTCTTAAGATAAATTGCGTGTTTCCGTGACACGTGAGTAAACGAGGCCTGCCCTGGGACTCCTCTGGACTGATCTGGTACCAAAGCGGCTCCAGTAAGTCTGAAACCCCATATGCCTCCAAAACCAGTATTTTAGCGGTCACTTCTGTTGCTGTCATGAGAAGAAAATCTATTTGTAGGTATAGATGGAAGTTTTAATTAATTTCCTACATGTTTGTTTGTAAATTAAGGGAAGGTTTGCTTTGAGGTGCTTTTTGTACATGCACAACGTGATTAGGAGCTAAGGGAAAACAGGCCTATGCTGACTGTACTAACTGTATTTGCCAGTGTGCTATGTAAACACCACGCTCCAAAGATGAAGACTAAGCAGTTGGGAAAAATTGATGTGTAAAAAAAAAGTAAGAAAGGTTCCGTGGTTGCACGTTGGAAGTTGTTATCTGTAGAAGGAGGCACCATGTGCAAACACAAACTTAGTTTTAAGCAGCCATGTGAGTGCGATTATCGCTGAACACTCAGTTGATTTTAAGAGTTGATGGACTCTTTAGATCCTACCATATAAACGCTCTCATCTGTAGCAGGCCACAGCATTAGGTCTTAGGATATGTTATGATAACCTAAACTTCTTATTTTCACTTTTCTGAAGGAATACCTATCACCAGTGCATCGTATTTTGCCACCATGACGCTTGACCAAGTTAGGCATGTGTTTCGCTCTGACACAGAAGTGCCCATACCTTTGATTGAAGAAAGACATCAGGTGCTGAATGAAAGCGGAACAGTTCTGTTAGAGAAGTTTGGAGGCTCTTTCCTCACCTGTGTTAAAATGAGTGAGAAAAGTGCTCAGAAACTACTACGTCTAGTACTGGAAAATTTTCCTTCTTACAGAGATGAAGCTGTATTTGAGGTAAGCTAGTTCTAACACTGAATTTCTTATGATAAGAATTTACTCCTTACTGATTGTAACTTTAAAAGATAGCTCTGAGGTTGTCTGTGTAAATTCTTCTGAGAGGGTAGTCAGTTCAGAATTGATCTAATATTTGTGAATTGTTGGGGTTTTTAATCCAGGAAGTGGAAGGTCAACAGAAACTTTTCTGTGGACTCGGTGTGTTCAAAAGTAAAATTCAAGGGAAATAAGAAGGAAAATTACTGTTGTTTTATTATTTTTGCCTTAAATCCATGAAGATATTGGTCTGTATAATGAAAGGAGAATCAGACTTTGAAGCAGTTGATCTTAATTATGTAAAGTGCTATGAGTCATAAAGATAGGGAAGAAGGTTTTTTAAATAATACTCTTGGACCACAGTATACTTTTTTGTTAAGCTGGGCTAAAAGTATTGAGATTCCATTTCTCTGTCAGTCTCAACCTCTGAAAACAAAATCACACAATTTACCAGCAGTAAAAGAATCTTGATTGTCTTAAGCCCTTAACTAGTCAGGAATTTCTAGTGGCAAGAGTCGCCTTTTTCCCCAGAGGAGAGCCTTTTTTTTTTTCATATGCTGTCTCTATTTTCATCACTTTGTTGTAATTTATTTTGATACACTCCAAGTTCCCAATTAGATCACGAACTCCTTTGTACTCCTTACAAATGCGTAATATTTGAGATAATTTCTGCTTGAAAAATCAGAATCTTGCCCCCCCCCTTTTTTTTTTTCCTTGAATTGCTATCAACCCCCCTCTCCCCTATCTCTCTTTCTTCTTTTACCTTGAGGATCTCCACAGCTAATGAAGGAAATGAAACTCTGGTAGAATTGTGAAAATCTGCACTATAACTGTTGTTGGTTGATTCAACAGGCGTTGCACAAATTACTACAGGCCAGAATTAACCCATTCATTTGGCAGGGTTGACAGTATACTGAACCTTTTTGGAGCCGTTTTCCTGAAAGAAACTGATGGGAGGTAAACAGAGACTACCTGCTATTTTCTCTGTCTCTGGTTTTGCCTATACAGGCATGATCTTTATTTAGTGTCAGTGACATATGTAGCTGCTGCTGTGGTCAGTTCCATCTGCAGTAGTATTCAGCTGTTACATCATTATGTCCAAAAGACTTTATTCTAGTGACAGTGCAGCCTGTACTAATAGTCTGCGCAGTCTTTTCGAGGTAACTCCCTGGAACACCAGTCACTGGAGCTTTGAACCTATTGCATTTATTACTTAAATCTGCCCTTAAGTAGGTGGCATAGTTTTATTTTCCTTTGTCTCCTGCTATGAAGTAAGATATGTTTACGTGAAAAATCAGAGGTTCTTTCTAACTAATCTTTGAAGCTACTTGTTTAATTTATTGGGATTTTTTTTACAGATAAAGTAATTTTTTTATTATATTTATGATCAAAAAGGAAATATTTTCCAAGTAAAGTGATAAATAGAGTATTTTCTTATCTTTATAGTGACTGTATTCATTGACGTAATGTCTTTCATGAGATGATGCTGAGTGCTTTATAAAGCAAGCCTCCCTAAAAGCAGCAGCAGACTACAGAATGAAAAGATGTTCCAAAAATGATCCCAGACCGTAAGCACTGACATAGTAGTAAAGCCTGTTGCATGAATATGGAAGCTGCTTTTCTGCTTTCACTAAGCAAGGTGTATATTTTGAAGGTGGGTGAAATAATGTAGACCAAGTTTACACCCTACTTTTTTTAAAAAAAAAAAAAAAAAAATCAGTGTTAGCACCAAACGCGAGGTGACATGGATCACAATATCAACATCATTTCTATATCATTTCTATCGCAGCAGGTTGAGCTCTTGCAAGTAAGACTTTGCCTTCAGTAAAGGATTAGGAGGGAACTGAAAAGATGGTGAGATATCCAATAGCAAACCAGTGTTTTTCAGTAACTCTCCATAATAGAAATGTATATGATTATAAAATAAATTCTACAGTAGAATCATACTATCACAGACTATTACAGCTCTCCTGCGTTCTGACTTTCTAGGGGTACTTCTAAAATTAACACAATTCTTTGGGTACATTTTTTTCCAAACACATACACAATTTTTTTTTTTCATAATTACACATTACTGAATGTAATTATAGAAGTTGCCAATGTTCTTTTGCTTCTGAAAAGTGAATTGCAAACTAAAACAAAAATCCCCGAAACCTTTTTGTCCTTGGGTGGATAGTTCATATTAGATGCTGTGCTGAATTTGAATCTTGACAGAAGTTTAAATACTGGACTATGTTATACTTGCATATCAGGGTTTTCATGTTCTGGTGTAGACACAGTGGAGTCTTTCTGAGCTTTCAGTCATGGGTGTTGCATGTATTTATCTTTTATTTCCCATCACCTGGGACCGAGGTTGTAAAATTCTCATGATCCTCCTATTCTTTGCTTTTTTTAACTAGCTGTGCTATCACATTTTGCTCCTTGCCAACACCTTCTTTCTTTTAATATCAGTAGGTCATAATTAGTTATGTCTCTTGATACTGGATCATTGTAGTGGAGAGGAGACACAAGTGTTGCTATATGTGGTAGTTTTTCCTGGAAAGTGAGGGTGTTGCAAGAAAAAAAAAGAAGTGTAGTTGTATTGCCATCTGGTAAAATGTTCCATTTTTGGACAAATGATGCTATCTTTGAGACATAATATCATCCCCCTAATGCTTTCCTTGCTTTCTGTTGAAAAGAATGGTGGGAAAATTTACTGCAAATGCTTAATAGTCTTTTTCATGTTGAGAATTTTACATAAACTTCAGAAGCTCTGCGCAGCATAAAAATTAACAATAATTGAAACAATGAAATTATAAATTCATCTGCTCAGTGACAAGTCCCAGACAGTGTTTTTCTTCCAAATGAAATTGCAGCATGAGATGAAAAGTTCCATTTGAATGCTCCCTTCCTCTGCTCTTGCAAAATGGTGTGGTGCTGGAGACAATCAGTTCTTTACTATATTGGAAAAATCTTAGTGATATAAGAGAGCGATGTCCTTGGTTTCCGTTAGCTTTGGGGCAGCAGGAGCTATAATGGGATTTGGTCTATTAATTATTTGCTTCCTGTTGCAATGTTTCAAGTGGTGTTCTATTATTTAACATACAAAATTGTGTATGTTCTCTAGAAGTATGTGCATCTATGTCAAGTATGGAATGAACCATAGGGAAGGAAGGAGTTTTCAGGATGTTTGCAGAAATTGTTCTGTGAAATGTAGTTGCACACCACATTATCAGTGAAGAATAGCATTTGATGACAAAAAGTATGCTTTGCTCTCAGGAATAGTAGCATTTTGGCAATAAAGTAAAACTAAATTAGCTTAAAAAATGCGATTTGTAAATTGTGGTGATATGAAGAGTGGCAGAATAAAATGGGAAATAACTCCAATCCCCACCTATTTGTATTTCAGATGAACCATTCCAGTTACATATTGTTGTTTAGCACATGTTGCCAGAAGTCGAAAATCTCATCTAACTATAAAGGGAGGAAAAAACCATAACCCACCAATACCTTTTTTCTTAAAGATGCGGATTTACATTCACACGTTGTGTGCAGCATAGAGTGAAAACCTCAACAGCATACAGATAGTAGCATATCTTTAGTTTTTCCCCTTGTGAGTAGTCACAAAAGCATGTAAATTTTTGCAGGATTAGCACCAGCAAAGAAGTTTATGAGAAAAATAGAACCATGCATAGTATCTAAGAAAATCTCGTATTTGTGAATACTCCTTCTACTGGAATTAATTTTCCTCCCTCCTCCTTAACTAGCAAGATACACTACAGAACACAGGAGCATTCATTAAAGTTTTCACTAGAATTTTTTTTCCTTAACATTACGGATAAATTGATTAACAAAATGTTTTAATTGTCTACTCCAATACATGCTTTTTATGGTTCTCTCCTCGAAATGAAAGGTTGGATGAACTCTAGGGTTTCTGAAAGAGTTAGTGTTTGCTGGACTCCAACTACAGTGTTTGCCAAGTGGAAGTAAACCAACATGAATGTGTTCTGAGATCCAAGAGGAATCTAAACAATTTTTATTCCACTGCAGTGACTTGTACTATGTTTTTCTTCTATTTCAATTTATTTATGAGTATTCCATATGGTACTTGTTTGTGGTTTGATATTGTTTAGATTTTAAGGTGTTTAAGAGTGTCGCACTTTTATTCTGTTTTAGTTAACGAATATGTTTGCTTAACCAAAGGGTAGTTTATAGTTCATAGAACAATGTAACTCTTACCTGTCTCTCTATGTATGTGTCATTAGCTGCATTTATTGATGTTTCAGGCACTTAAATAATTCGTAAATGTCTTCCATTAGAAAAAAAAGGTGTCTTTCTACAAACGGGCACAAATACTTGTGGCTGATACATGGAGTGTATTAGAAGGCAAAGGAGATGGCTCTTTTGACGACATTTCTAGTCTGACTATATTTGCTGACTACAGAATTCCTCAAGTTCTTGTTCACTTAAAAGCAATGAAGTATTCCGAAGAACTAATGAAGAAACTACGTGAAGGTTTGTTCCTCCTTTACTAATATCAAGTAATCTTACCTCTTGATGTTGTAGACTAAAGCTACTTTTAAAATGTAATGTTTTGTCCATATAAGGGTTATGTGGGTTTTTTGGTTGGTTTTTTTTTTGCTCCAGAGAACAAGGACTTCTTGTGTAGTGATGAGGTAACAGGAAGGAACTTACTCTCTAACAGTGATCTTGAATGAGATCTTAAGGTTACATTTTTATAAAGATCTAACTGTTCCTTGGGTTAAACATTGATAAGGGAAGGATTAAGGAGACTCTAAGCCAGTTGATCGCTGAGTTTCTAAAGGGCTGCTGTTGCCACTTTTCAGCATGAGTATAGTTGTGATTTTTGAGGCTTAGATAAAAGAAGCAACAATTCCTTTATTAGTTCAAACATGATGTAAAAGCATGAGGGTTCCTCTTTACTGTACTGAACTGCTAGTGGCAAGCAAGGTAATATTATAAGCATCCATTAAAAAAAAAAAAGATTTCTTTAAATGAAGTTAATTGTGTAAGACTAGAGTCTCGTTTTTAAGCACGATTCTATCTTCCAGTAGTTATTAACTATGAACTTCAGTGAATAAAAACATAAACCAATCCCTCTTCCACTGTAAAATGACTATACTTAGAGGTAGGACTGCTATTATGCAATTTTAAAATCACACAGCAAGATAAACAGATGAATGCAATCATCCATGGATCTTAATAGAATGGCTGAATATATATATATGCCTATATCTATATATTAAATAGATAGTGTAGACAATTTGTTTTCCGTGAATCCTAATAAGGACATTCCCATCCAAGTCATTCAAACAATGGATCCCTTTATATTTTTATATATATGGTTTTTTGTTTGTTTTTTTTTTAATTTTTAAATATTAGAATTATTCTGGCAGAAAATATACCATCTCAGAATTATGTTTGACTATCCTTTTTGTCTCCACAAGCAAAGAAATAATCATGTAGTGTGCCGTATAACCCAAACACCTGTTCTTTTCTTAAACCACTCTCTCAGAATGTTGTTTTAATTGAATGGGAGATAAACTTACAAGTGCATACGGTAAAATTAAAGCAATCCTTAGAAAATGTATAGCAACATTGTTAGCAGTTGTAGTGTAAGTCATGAGAACTGCAGTCCTAGAATAGAATAAATGTTGCGGGGGAAAAAACAGCAAATTCAGGCGTGGGGCTTCTGTCTCTTGAACATAATTGGATTGCTGTCTCTTGTCTCCTGCAGGAACAATTTTCCAGTCTGGAGATAAGGAGGAGGTGGAGATCCGTGGCTGTTCTATTTGGTGTTGTGCGTTGATTTGTAAGCACCTGCTGGAGCTCTATGAGAAGAAGGGTCAGGACATGCGTGGAAAGATCAATGCGGTTTTACTCGATTATCATCTCTGGGACTATGCCAGGGATCACAGGGAAGAGATGAAAGATACTCCGTTTCACCGCGTACGGTGTATATATTACTAAGACCAGTCCGATAGCTATTGTATCGATGCATTATCTTTTGAATTGCAAGTATTCTTGTCATACACTAATTTGCAACTGGCTCAAATGCTCATTTTTGGATGATGTGTTAACAACTCTTTCTTTTTTTTTTTTTCCTTTCCCTCTGAATCTTTCACTCGCCGCGACTGGAATTAATAGTGTAAACTTTGCTGGACAATCCATGTTACTTCAGGGCTTGTTTCTCCTGCTTTGAGTTCCGCATCTGCGCACGTACGCGCATCTGCACGCGCACGTGTGTATACGCACACGCAGGTGTGCCCGCGGACCTGTCTGTCCGTGCCGTGCCCCAGGTGCCCTGTCCCGCCTGCCTGCAGCGAGCTTGGCGAGAGATGAGGTATTGCCTTCGTTAAATAAACGGTGCAGTGACTTAAAGCGCCTGGGGCATATCTCCTTTTTCATTGGAGGGGGCGGAGCGTGAGCAAACGCCGGCGTCGGCCCCCGGCGGGCGGGGGGGGGAGC